AGGTCATCGCCATCTTGGATTACAAGCGGTAGTTTTTTCCCGGCCGTTTCGACTTGCACTGATCACGGTTACCAGTACTAAAAAGTAACCGTGCATTGATTACAATACTTACCATACTTTGTAGCCAATTTCAGTGAGTAATACAACTTCATTCGCTGACATAAAACAAGTTTTATTCTTGAAATTCGACCCTGTGTCTTAGTGTTTCCACAGTTCTTGACCGAGTGCTCACGTTTATTGAAACCTCGCATAAATCAAGAAATAAGTTCGTGTACAAAGTGTACGAAAGCATTCCTTTATTTGACCTTATCATACGATCACAAAAACAACTTTTTAAAATCTTTTTTGGGGTGGTCCTCGCATAAGCGCCCACCCCCAATTTTTCCCGATTTTGTATGTTCAGGCCCTTGGACGCGTGCCCGGAGTAATACGGTAGTGGTCTGAGGACTGACTAAAAGAGACAATGGGAGGAATGTGATTTGTGTTGCTTTCTTACCTCGAAAGAGACGACAGACTTTCCATGCTGTGATTGGTCCTTCACTGCAAAACTGTCCAAAGGCAACTTCCAAAAAGAACAACGGCATTCCACATAGCATCATAAAGATCACATAAGGAATGAGAAACGCTCCTGTAACAAGTCATTGTCAATAATTTTAGTGACATTTTAAAATCATATAAATCACTAAAACATTGATCAAAGCTACTAATACAGTGAATTTTATAATGATATATTCTTTAGGCCAGACTTTTTTTATTCCTTGTTTCTCGAGTTTTTATAAGGCAATTGTTTTGAGGAGGGTGGACAAAAAATAAAATTAATTCTTTTTTTCCCATTAGATTTGTGTGATTCTCAAAGAATTGTAAGTGAGATCATTGATCGGAGAGAAGAAATGAAATAAAATTTTATTCCATGTATAACCTTGTTTCTCATCTGTGTGAGACTTCGATAGTTTGATCATGATACTCCTACGAAAATGCAACTTGGATTTGTTATGCGGCGGGCGGTAAAAATATGAAGATAAAAATAATTTTTTTTTAGCAATTTTTTGCGCTTACAAGTCGGCGAGCACGAGAAATTATGCTGCAATTAAATTTTTATTTTTATTTCATTTTCGGCTCGTGTTCATTTGGCGGGTTCGCAAAACAAGGGATAATAGAAGTCTGGCCTTAAATACAAATGTAAATAATTACATAGCAGTAAATCAACCAATGATTGAAGAAAACCCACAAAGACTCATGGGTAATAGGTGTTAAATAATGGCTTCTGTAGCCAATGACAATACTTTCTATGGATTAGAATGAACAAGGTTCTACTAGGGTACATTTTTATAATTTTCATTTTTAAAAAATAATGCCTTTATAAATTCACTTTATGACCTTGGATATAATAAATTAATAAATAATAGTTTAAATTAAACCTAAATAGAGATAACAAATGGAAGAAAGCTGAAGATATTAAAGACATGAAGTACAAATAAGGAATACTCTATTTACTATTGCTATGTTTACACGACAGCAATTTATCAAAGCCCAATGTCGTGAGCCAGCAAAAATGGCTGTGTAGGTACGCGCATTAATATCTATTTGGTAGAGTAAAGAAATTTGAATTGAATTCTGGAAAATCTCAGCTTTAGTTCTGCTCGACATTGGAGATAATCTCCTGTTAATAGATGGGGAAAAGTAGTAATTCGGCTCCGATGGAATGTTGCCATGTAAAAGTAGTAATTCGGCTCCGATGGAATGTTGCCATGTAAACGTAGCATATATTTGAAAAGTATCTTCAATACACATAGGTCAAAAAATTGAAATATAGGCATTTAACCATACACTTGTCTTGGCCAAAATGCAATATTTTATTTTCAGCAATACTGACATAGATTTTTACCTAGTGTGGGATGGAATATTTTTTGATTTTCAGCAATATAACTTGAATGTAAAAGTAAAAAATATATTTGCATGATTGCCTTGCCTGCAAAGTAAATCAACACGATGCCTGGGTTTCTTTTCCGTACTGTTGATGTATATACTTTAGCGGAGAACACAGACTGAGTGAAATGAAACAATACAAAATAAAATAAATCTAATACCACAACCCTAACTGTTATTTGTGTGTGCGAGTTATAATAGAGTACGTGTAGTTATCCAGTGAAATATCCATGCCGCCAACTGGAACTTGATCGATAATAATTTTGAAAGTCCTGGTATTTTGAAGTTTTGCAATGTCTTAGCGGTCACCACAGTGGTTTTGAAGCCGAGTTTTATAACAATGATGTCTAGTAATCAACAAGATTACCTAAGACAAAAATAAATGAAATTTATGGGAAATGTGCAGTCACAATTCATGACTGAAAATCCAAATAATTACTAGATCATTTTTTTGCTAAAAAGAAAACTGACTTGTCGTGGGGACTGTCGCCGTGAAATTAAACTGTCCATTTCTTACCTTACTAGTAAAATGTAAAAAATATTCCAAAGGCATGAAGGAATACATTAACAATCATTCTTGCCTATCACTAACTTTATTCCATTGAAACTGTAAAATATTTGAGGTTTTCTATCAATGACTTTAGTGATAAAATGGGTGAATGGGAGATAAGGTTTTTTTTGGCGCAGGAACCAAAGGTATATGGTGAAGAAACCCATCAGTCTCAGCTGACCATCACTGATGTTGTAACAACACGTACTTGATGCAAATCAACAGTCTGACCTGTATATTTGCATTTTCGAAACAGTCAGAAACATGGTGACAAATAGTCTTCTTAGCAAATTTATTCAAGGAAAATGAGTAAATGATGATAATTTTGTAATTACCAGTAATGAAGGTGAACTGTGACCAGCCCAAATTTATATTAATTCTCACCTCATATGTATTTTTCTGGAGATGAACAAAATATTAATACATACATGGAAACAACTTATCTCAAGTTATATTTTCCCATGTTCATATTTTTTTTTTGACAGCACACATGTTTAAAAATTCTACCACTCAATTATTTAGCAGTGCTATTTAATATGTCATTGATCCAACTATGACCGGAAAATGCTCAGGGCCTACAAATCGCTCAAAGATTTGAAAATATATTCTGACAGGCCTGTGATTGATAGCATTACACAGCGGTTTCTGAAACAAGTTCACTTGGTGTCGACCTTATCTTCCGCAATTCAACACCTCTCGCAGTTACTGGTATTGGGTCTGGTATTTTCTTTTACAAAATGCAGCGAACAAACGTACGTGTCCTGGTGTCAACCGAAACAGTCGAGAGAGCAGGCACTGATCCAATGATGAGACTGTGTTTTTGGCTTAGGGAATCGCAAAAGAGAACACACCATTTACCATAACTCCCATTAAAGTTTCAAAGATCACAGATATTGGTTTGTGATGAGGTTTAAAACATGTATGGCAATGTGGTTGCCACCATATTGAACTGATAGCTTGACCTGTGTCATGTGGTTGCTAAGGTGAGTGAATCATGGTCATGCGTGATCTTGCAGTTCGAGGAACATAGCTTATTATCACTAGGTTGTTTTTAATTTCAATTTTATAATTAGATAAGAATAATTTATTGACATTAAATTTTATTTTGGTCCACTGAGATGTTAATTTGTTAAGTACAGTATTTTGTTCAATTTTATTTAGCAGGGATGTCAAAAAAACATTTATTTCAAAACACAGTATTGGGAAACTTACCTCCTCCATTACGATAACAGAGAATAGGAAATCTCCAGATGTTGCTCATCCCTACAGCATATCCAATCAATGACAGTATAAAGTCCAATTTCCCAGACCAATTACCTCTTTCGACATTTTCATCACCATAGTTACTGTCCTCTTCAGATGTTATCTCGTGTGATTTTGATACACCACAACATTTGGGAATCTGCATATGATAATTATTTGTGACAAGTTATTGTCAACTTTTAAAAAATTCATGTCAAAAATGAATAATCAACACACTTGTATAGTTTACTATTATATATAGATAATTAATTTAACAAATTTAACATACTCACAAAATACACTCACATTTTATTACAATACGATTTACATACTGTTTGAATTTACAGTGTAAAAATGATTGGGGTCTGCAGGAAAACAGTCCAAGACGCAAACAAATCAAAAGCAATTTCCGCCACGATTTAACCTGAAACCTAACCTAACAGGTGAAGTCTATTACTAACCAATCTTTTTCATACTGATGACATTTTCTGAAATTTCCAAATATTAATAATGTCCAGAAAGAGAAACAGAAAGAAGATGAACATTGTTGCATTGTCCGCCATGCATGACCTGTGAAATTAAGGTGAGTTAGCAAGAACCAACAGTCGTTGTCATGGCCACCACACACTTCAAAAAGAGAACAACCGTACCAAACATTATATTTATGCAATGAAAAACTTTTTACACATGCAGTCAAACCTGTGTTAATGGTCACCTGTATATAGCGGCCACAACCGAATAGTTCCTACAAAATTTACATGTAAAGTACGGTGTATATAGCGGCCACAACCGAATAGTTCCTACAAAATTTACATGTAAAGTACGATGTATATAGCGGCCACAACCGAATAGTTCCTACAAAATTTACATGTAAAGTACGGTGTATATAGCGGTCACAACCGAATAGTTCCTACAAAATTTACATGTAAAGTACGATGTATATAGCGGCCACAACCGAATAGTTCCTACAAAATTTACATGTAAAGTACGGTGTATATAGCGGCCACAACCGAATAGTTCCTACAAAATTTACATGTAAAGTACGGTGTATATAGCGGCCACAACCGAATAGTTCCTACAAAATTTACATGTAAAGTACGGTGTATATAGCGGCCACAACCGAATAGTTCCTACAAAATTTACATGTAAAGTACGGTGTATATAGCGGCCACAACCGAATAGTTCCTACAAAATTTACATGTAAAGTACGATGTATATAGCGGCCACCTGTACTGCCTTAAACAAGGCTCCAAAGATCACAAAAGACATTGTTTTCTTGACACGTTTTCAAGATGGCTTCATCAATTATGTTTTTTCTTGTTTATAATTCAGTTTACCATGGCCAACACACCGTACTGATGGCCTGGGAAAGCTGAAAACATAATTAAGAATTTGAAAGTGTCCTGATAAAAAAATGCTGTCATCAATATTTGGTTGAAATATGTCATGTATGTTATGTGTTGAAATGGGCATGGTGCAAGTGGTTAGTGTAAGTAGCACTAGATCCAGGGGTGAAATGGCACTAGATCTAGGGGTGAAATGGCACTAGATCTAGGGGTGAAATGGCACTAGATCTAGGGGTGAAATGGCACTAGATCTAGGGGTGAAATGGCACTAGATCTAGGGGTGAAATGGCACGATACATCATTTCAAATACATTAACTTTACTATTGCTGAGCAACAGTATTGAGGCCGCAGCTTTAATAGAAGCCGCACCCCTAACTTGAAACATTGTTTCATGTTGAAATTGACAAGTTTTGATTCCAGGAAAAAGCCTGCAATATAAGCCACACCCCAAACTTTCACAAAACAGCCACCACATATTTCAGAAAAAGATATACCATTTAATTTTCAAATTAAATTAGGGACTTGACCGAGCAGTTTCAAGTCACTAATGTGCTTGGACAAACATGGCGGATATCGTATTGGATCAAGCGTTTACATGTGACTGAAATCATTCGCTTGTGGTGAAACTAAGTTGAATTTTCACAACAATTCAACAAATTTATTTTTTGCACATTATTGTAATCACTACTACATAATAATCATTAATTGTAACGCTTCGAAAACAAGTAAGTTATTCACTTGTGAAATGCAGCATGACTGGCCAGATTGCCAAACCATTTTCGTGATCATTTGCTACTGAGCAATGCATTCGTGTTTGTTTTTATTTGAAACTTTTCGTTATCAACAAAATTAAGAAAATAAATGCATATTCCATTAAATATATTGAGTATTTTTTGTAATCATGTGAACAGTTTACTTTTGATTGACTGTAATTTCCATGATGTCTAAATTAGAGCATGGAAGGTACTGGTACTAACGAATTAGAGTGACATCTATTCAAGATATTATACGGTACCATAATCTGCAAATGCGTACAAATCTATTTGTAGATATTATTTATTGTGCAGTATGTTGTACTGTGTTAATTTTCATTTGTGTACAAGTTTGTCTGTGTGAAATTCCGAAAATGTGCTTTGAATTGCAACAAAGTGTTGAGTGTTGTGCATCTTATTAGCATATCATTATCCCTTTAGGCCTTTGTTTTCTGAAAAAATTTCCCACTGTTACCAAAGTGAATGTTCTTATTAAAGCTGCACCAAGACTTCATGCATCTGAAGTTGCCCATTGAAAAAATGAATTTTAATTTAATTGCAATTAGGAATTTTAGGGAAGAGTAGGAAATCAAACTCGCGGTTTACCGCGGTCATTACCGCGGTGGTGGTGGGTGCTCGCCGGTCTACCGCATTTTATGCAAATTTATGCATAGATTCCATGACCCCGGTTTACCGCGGTCGTGTGCGGTAGGCTCGCATGGCAATTTACACCCTATTGTTAAGACTATGAATGGACACAATAGACTGGGAAACTAAAGGTTACTTGCCGCCAAGTTCAAATAATAAAAATCGAGTGGTACCAGAAGATTGGAAAATCGTCTCTATTAGTTCGCAGAAGAACACTATTTTATTTTCACGAGTCTTGGTATAACATCGCAAAGCAACCCAGAATAATGTAGACCCCACATAATGTAAAATATTATCACATTATTTTGAATTTACATCATGTATAGTCTCAGGATTTATTTTAAAA